GGGGTGAGAGAAGTATCTCGCGGGGGTCATCTAGACCCAGCCCTCTTTCCTGCTTATGCAGGGGGTCGGACTCGATGATCTATAGAGGTCCCTTCCAACCCTAACATCTATGAATCTATGAATCTATGAATTTTCAACTAGACAGGGGCCCTACCTACAATCTCCTTTTGTATCATGTCTATCATGTGTTCATATCACCTTGACACCCACAAGGGACATAATTACAAACTGGCTTACAGAATACAGCCCAGCAGCTGACAACTCTACAGAGCCTCTTGGCCAGAGTTCAAGGCTTTGGGGTGTGCAGTTCATTGTAGATCTACTTTAAAATCCATCTAAATTACATATAGAAGAATGAGATCAAGACAGGTATTGAATGCATCTGCCTGAATTTCTAATGTGATCTAGATCACCTGAAGTATTCAGATGGATTAGTGGACTATTGAGTCTTAAACCTCTAGTAAATGGAGGTGACCTCTTTAAATCTCGATGTACAAAATATGCTTTGTCAGGCAGTCCAATAATCCAAATCCTTTAAACTGCAGTAAGCTTGGTTTATTTTTAATGCAAGAATGAAAAAGTCAAATTGATTTTTCTGGACATTAGCATTAAAGGGAACTCAAAGAATGAAATTCCTTTGATGTTCAAGTGAATAACAATTACAGCACTGAGTTTAATCTTTTTTTTAAGCCCATTTACATGGAAAATGAATTTATAACAAGCTGGTGAGTCCCAGAGGATATAATAAATTATTGCTTTCTCTACAGTTTTGGATGCTTTCTCACCCTTCATTGCCTTCCATATATAAAATACAGAATAAAAAAGTCCCTAATAAATTAGAGAAAGTATATTTCTCTAAAACAAAATACGAAATGTTGCCCTGTATATGGATATCAAAGGAAATTGTTTGTCAGAAATTGTCTTCCTGTGTTAGGAAGAGAACAAAGAGTGGTCATAATAATTCATGGAAATGTCCTCTCAAAGCACAGATTCCTTTTAGCCATCCAAAATGGGTGCTGAGATCAAAAGGTGAGTTGTATGCATTATGGACAGATGTTATGTAGGCAACTCTCATTTGGTCTAACAAAGATGTATTCATGAGCAATGGATGAAAAGACCATTTTGCACATGATTACAATCAGCAGTGATTGAAGTTCTTCTCATAAATAAAGACCTCCCCTCAGGCTGCATTGCAAACAGCTGGACCTGTACAAAAAATTCTGAAAATCTTTCCAGAAAACCAGAATATTGTCTCGAGTGAAAGTTTGCAGAGAATTTGCTTTTCTCCTCTGGCTGCCGAAGTGACTTGAACAAGTTTTCTTTTGTCAGTACAATTCACTCTAAGTTCCGCTCATCTGGTCAACTCAGAGTTATAAATAGTAGTAAATAACAAACAACATGGAATAAGAAAGGATTAGTTAGTTTAGTTTAAGATAAGGATGGATCAAATACCCTTCTGCTAAACAGAAACAGAATCTTTGTGAGGGTTAGAAAAAATGGCTAATTTTCCCTTGTATTGCATTATATTTCACTATGAAGCATCACTGTGCCTTCCACTTTTATGTGGTATTGAAACTGGTAGAATTACAGATACTTGTTATTTTAAATTATTATTATTCTAACTCTTATTTGCCTATATTGTGATAGCACATGGATGGACTTCATTTGGTCAGGGTCCCATTGTGCTAAGTACTGTAAAAACATATGGTGAATGACAGTCGCTGCCCTGAAGCTCTTACAATTTAACAAACAGTAAAGGAACAATCATCCACATACATTTTATGTACTAGAACTCAAAGCAGTCTACTTCAAAAAAGACACGGCAAAAAATATTATTAAAATAATCAATTTCCTATGCACTAAAATGCAGTTTACCTTCATAAGTAGACTCGCTGATATACCTGATAACCTTGGCTTTGAGCACAACTAAACTAATGGAGATATAACACTGATGACTTGTCTTCAGTGAGCACGAGGGCGTATTTATACCCAGCGCCGGTGTTGATCTAGTAAAGGATCACCTTGAGAGGCTGGACACCTTCAAGTCAGCTGGTCCTGACAGATTACACCCTAGGGTACTCAAGGAGCTGCCAGGTGTCATAGCCCAACCATTGGCAAAAATATTCAAAAATTTGTGGCGCTCAGGTGAAGTACCTGAAGACAGAAGAAGGCCAATGTGGTGCTCATCTTCAAGAAAGGGTGGAAAGTAGATTCTGGGAATTACAGGCCTATCAGCCTGACCTCAATCCCTGGTAAGATTCTCGAGAAAATTATCAAGGAGACCCTTCTGGATAAGCTGGCTGAGGGCAACATCCTGAGGGATAGCCAGCACAGGTATGTTGTGGGTAGGTCTTGCCTGACCAATCTCATCTCCTTCTATGACCAGGTGACCTATCACCTGGACAAGAGAGAAGAGATTGATGTCATATACCTGGACTTAAAAAAAAGTCTTTGATCTGGTGTCCCATGACCTCTTCATGGAAAAACTGGCCAACTGTGGCCTTGGCTACACCATAGTTGGACCCAGAGAATAGTGGTCAATGGCAGTGAGCCATTATGGCACTCCATA